ATGTAAAGCGAAAATTATCATTCATCAAAGATTCTGACCCTTCCAGTAGTTATATTGACAATGTGAGCCGAACCATCCTTTGAGCCTGAGAGAGCAAGAGTTGAATCCGAGCTGATCGTCAAGCATGTCAGTCCTTCCGTGTGATACGGATGACCTTGCAACAATAAATAAACATTTTTCAGAAATTAAAAATAATAATAATAGTAAGACCAGATCTGACAAATCATATACTCCCTCCATTTCAATTTAAATGATGTAGTTTGACTTGGCACAAAGTTTAAGAGAAAAAAAAAAAGGAGACTCTTGAAATATGTGGTCCTAAAAGCTTAAGGGGCAAAAACTTTGTGGGGCCATGACATTTGTTTGGCCATAAAAACTTCTCATTAAAGGTAAAATGGGTAAACTGAAAAGTTTAAAGTTAAATTGCTTCCAAAAATAAAAATATGTCATTCTTTTGGGAACAGACTAATAAGGAAAGTGTGTCATTTAAATTGAAACAGAGGGAGTATTTATCAGGAAAGTACAAACAACAACAACAACAACGAACCAATTTAATCCCAAAAGTGGAGTCTAAATCTAGAAAAGTAGTTTCTCTAATAAAAGACCAACATTATGACAGCAAATCTCGCCACTGATAAGGGTGCTAACATCATTTATTGGAATGGAAGTACAGATAGCCAGCTCAATATAGCATATTGAAAGAAAGAAACAAGACAGATATCAATAAGCATGGATTAAGGTTCTTGAAAATGAAAGAAGAGAAATGCTAACTCAGCAATATATTATTAACATATGCTTCAATCCACAATTTTTATCCAGCACTCAGCCACATCCCCCGAAATATGGAAACACATTATGTGCAAGTGACAGAAAGCCTTCCATCTGTAGGCTTCCTACCCCTTTTTGTGATGTGTAGGTCTGAGGAGGGAGTGTTGGAGGGAGAATAACAGCTTTACTTTTCACCTAATTTAGCAGCCAGAAAGCAAAAATCTCACCTCTTACCACATGGATACTTTGGGCACTCTTTGGATCCCATATCCTCAGGGTCGCATCATCGGACCCAGTACAAATCAATTTACCTGAGCAAGCATATATAAGAAACATAAGTTCTACTCAAAAGGAGGTAAACACTGGAAATATTACCAGAGACACAGAGAAGTACCATCAGGAGTGAAACCACCACAGGTTACACTACCGCTATGACCTAAAAACGTGTTCATGAAAGCACAGTTATCAGCATTCCACATCCAAATGGAAGAATCCTCTGAACCTGCCAACACCACATGTCCTCTCGGATGCCACCTGATCCACTGAGCAACCTCAAATTTCATAATTGATCTCAAATTGTTACACAAAAATAGGATTTGTTACACAAGAAAATGTTTCACCTCTATTCCGCCTCCAGGACCTTCAAGTGTGCCATTCAGACCACCTGAAGTTAGGTTCCACACTCTTATATTCCCATCAAGGCTCCCAGAAGCAAGAAACTGACCATCAGTACTAAAAGCCAAACTCGATACAGAATCTGTGTGACCTGCACCATAATCAAACAACTTACATTAAACTATGAACCATTCAGATGATAAACACAAGAAAAGGATTCTTGGTTTTAGTCAAGACTCAATTACCTTGCAACTCAAAAGCAAAATCACCATTACCAATCTTCCACATAAATCCTCTATCATCTCCACCACCTGTTGCCACCAAACTAGCATCTGTTGGGCTGCAGGTAACGGTATATAGTTCACCTATAAAGAGGAAAAAGTATTGAAAAATCAAATTATCAAGAAAACAGTAAGCACCATAAAGTACAAACTAATTATACACTATACTCAATTAGGAGGCATTAACAACTATTAACTCATGGCTGTATCAAACTATTAACTACTACAAAATCCATGAAACACATTTAACCTCCATATCTAAAATCATTGTGCCAGTGAGGTTAAACCATCTTAAGTGAAGCAGGTTCACAAGCAGCAGACACAAATATTTGGAAAAGCCAAAAAAGTTACATTGATATGTGGGAAATTCCCGGATACATACCAAAAAGAGGACCAGCATCTGATACAAAAATCTTGTTTATATTTCCAGATTAAATTCCCATCATAGAATGAACAGCTAGAAGCCTAGAACAGTTAGCTAAAATATATCATATTTTGTTCTTTTTCATCTTTAGATCAAGTAATTTTTTCTCTTTCATTGCAGGATCTCCTCTCCAAAATCATGTTATAGAATACTCCAACTGAAATCAATAAGATTTAGTTGGCTATAAACAAAATGCTATTTTTTTATCTTAATTTGGGCAAAGTTGAATCTTGTCCTCCCGGAAAAATCTCGATCCAAGAAAAACATAGCCCTTTTGCAAATTTCATATTCCACGCACAAAACTTGTTTGGTAATAAGCATTGGCATCTGGTTCTACTTTCTAAGACTACAACTACACCATGATCCATCAATGTCTTTAAAACCACTGGTTTTCTTTTTCATATCTTAAGAAATTGTATGTATACTCCACCATGACCACTGGATGTCTCTTTCATCGTCCAATCTTTCTTTTAGTACTCATTATTTGTTCAAGCTTGCCTCTTTCTAATTAGCTTTGCTTATTTGATTGAAGATTCGACAATGCACTTCCCAGTAAAATCTGTCCACTTATTTGAAGCACCATCAATCGAAGGCAATATCACTTCTAAGTGTAGAATTCTATGCGACTGAAAAGGCAATGTTTCCCAATTTAGTCAGCTAAACAACCTAGCTATACCTCACACATGTTTTTATAACCGAAACACAAAGAGACTCAACATAACATCAGGCAACCTCCAGTTTTCCAATTACTGCAGGACTAAACAAAATAAGAATATCAAATGAGCGTTGTTCATTATTCAAATATCAAATTACAATAATACTAAAAGAAGTACAATACCAGTATGGCCCGTGAATGTATGAACCGAATCATCAGCTTCATCTGAAACCATTATTCCAAACATCTATATCAGTATGCTAATTAATCAAAAAAAAAAAAACGTTCTGA